TATATACATATATATATATGATTTATTGGCTTTGAACAGCAGCATGAGCTGAGACTTTAGCTGATATTATGAGGAAAAGGATGAAAAACATTCAGTCTACTATTCTGCTGTGTCACTCTGTCTATGTATGAACTCTCACTGTAGTGTATGCTACCAATAAATGAAATCAAGAATTCTCTCACTGTAATTGTGCCACCAATATGAATGCATTATTATTTACTAGGGGTGGAGCCGAACCTGAATACAGTATTCGGAAAGGCACAAATAATGTGTTTTTCATGAATACTTATTTCTAACAAATACTTTTAAAAATATTTGCATTTGGGAACAAGAAAAACCTTATATCAAAAAGCTGAGTTTCCTTATGACACTGCAGTGCATGACCGGATGAGTGAGTGATGTGTGAAAGATGTGACTGACATGGGCTGCTCCACACAGCAACAGAGACGCTGAGCGAAAAAAGGCTGAACTGGATCACTATTTTTGTTGAATAGGGTTTTTTGTACCATATCTGGGTTCAGGAGACAGTTTATAACTTTCACGACGATCGGGAGATTATCCCATTATGGTGCATTAATAATGTCTGCAGTCGTGTGCTCTCATGTTTGCTCTTTTTACGTAGCTCTGTAATTTACAAATAGCCTGTTGACAGAGTATCATTAACATTCGGTTTAAAAGTTTGAAACAATGCTTGTGTAGTTGTGTCGAATTGTATGCACTTGTGGGAGTTATATGGTGCGTTTATGTTACTCTGTCTTTTGCAGACAGCAAGATATAGACTATAGGCCAGTTAACCTTAGCGTAGCTTCCCGTCACTGATTAACTTAGCTGAAACTCCCCACATGGATTTGGGCAACCAGATAGAAGAAAGTGTTGCTCCTGCTGCTGAGCCACCTCTTGGTCCTCCACCAGCCAATAAACTCAAGTTCTGTGTGGAAGCATTTTACAGTCAGTCAGATGAAACCAAAGTGATATGTAATGTGTGCAAAAGTCAAATCAGCAGAGGCAGAGATATCAAACATCTGTTAACATCTGTTACGCATAATCACATGCACTTAAAGCATCCTCTCCTGGTACTGTTTGCCAACTCCCCCCACCAGCACCAATTCATCATCACAGCCATGTTCTGCCCTTGCAAGTCAGTTTCACTGTCTTTTCAGTGTTCTCCAACAAGGAAGGGTGGTGGTGGGTTCATAATGTTCACAATGGTATTTTATTAATTGTTGGTTTAACCATGGATGAGGCAATGGCTGTTATGTTATTTTCTTTTCAATGACGGTCTTTGTTACATGTTCATTGCTGGATTTATGGGAAAAAAAATCTACTAATATTGCATATCCATAATGACTATAATGGACATAATTAAAGAATACTTACACTATAATGTTAATTAGAAGTGTAATGCAAAAAAAATGGATTTTTACGCCTATTTTAAATTTTACTCGAATACAAATACAAATACTCCCCCCCCTCAACAAATACAAATACAGATACAAATACCGGCTACTCTGCCCATCTCTATTATTTACACATTTAAAACACAGCTGTTATTTCCATGTCACACAATGACAGCAGCAGAAACAAGAAAACAGCTGGAGATTATAAAAGTATTTCAGTCAGAGGACATTCACAGATACTAAAGGTTATAAAAGGGTGATTCTCTTTTTGGTCAAGGTCAAGGTCAAATTTATTCATATAGCACATTTCAAACAGCCAATGCTGCACAAAGTGCTTAAAAATATAAAAATGGCATTAAAAAGCAACAATGTAATACAATAATAACAATAAAAAACAATAATAGGACAATAAAAGAATTAAAACAATAACTAAAACTAATTCAAATAAGACCAAAATGCTTGGATCATAGTGTGTTAAAAGCCAGGGCATAAAAATGTGTCTTTAGTAATGATTTAAATTGCTCAAGTGTTTGTGCAGATCTAACATTTAAGGGGAGACTATTCCAGAGTCTAGGACCTGCCACAGAGAAGGATCTATCACCACGGGATTTGAGATAAGTTTGTGGGATGGACAGCATTAATTTTGAGCTAGATCTCATGGTTTTTCCTGGAGCATAGGCAGAGAGGAGCTCAGACAGGTAAGGAGGGGCTCAGGCATTAAGTGACTTAAAAACAAAAAGTAAAAGTTTAAATTGGATCCTGTAGGAGACAGGAAGCCAGTGTAAAGAAGCTAAAACTGGGGTTATATGCTCTCTCCGTTTGGTACCGGTTAGCAGGCGAGCAGCTGCATTTTGAACCATCTGAAGATGATGGATGGTGGCCTGATCTAGACCATAAGACCATAATACAATGAATTTCAGTAGTCCAATCTGCAGCACCATTTCATGTCTACATATTTTATTTACCCGGATTTTTTTCTAAAATGTGCCAAATATGTACAACAAAGTAATTAAATCATGTGTTTCAGTGTGTGCCATTATTTAAACATTAAGAAATGCATTTCAAATATATACATGAAATGCATTTCTTAATCTATATCTATCTATCGGACAGGGGCTTTTTCCTCTAGTCCCGAGCCGGTGAGTAGGTTGAGAAGAGACTGAAGATCTGCAGTGAGAAGACGAGCGAGGGACGGCAAGAGGAGAAGTCATAACCCTTCACCGTGGATCGACTGATTGAATTATGAGTTTTGAGCTGCCTACTCATCGTATGCTGAGTTAGGATTGGAGTCAAGAAGGTGAAGTCGGGGAGCCTTGTACTGGGCTACAATTTATCTTTCCTTTGGACTTTGGCCAACACAGCGGGGAGCTGGATTCTATCAGTGCGCATGATGATCCTCCTTCCCTCCTAAAAGAAGACCCACCTCAACAACGGTTGTAGTCATTTAGCAACAGAGTAGTTAGGGTTTATAGTATGATAAATTGATTATTTGGATTTGATTGATTAAATTGATTAAATTGCAATTAAGCTGTTTGCTAACCCCTGCTGAAATCTTGCTTTAATAAAAATTATCTATCTGCATTCAAAAGTCAGTATTGTGGACATTCGTTCTATTACTTCCTTAAAACAGTAAACGTTAAGACTTCATGTGTGTTAACTCATAACATCAGATTTAGGGTTCTTATAGGTTATTTTAGTCAATCATTATAACACGTCTTTGAGACCTACTATCCAGGTCACTAAATTTTACTCAGCACAAGTGCCATAGATCATTAGAGGAGAGCTGCCGTTAATAAGTGTGGCTGACAAATATGTTTCATTAAGGTTGCCAATGAGAGCATAGAGTCAGAGGTAGTGCACGGCGGGCTCTTAGATGAAGGCAGTTAGAGGCTGAGCGAATCTCCTCGCCACCGGCTTAAACTAGTCTCAACATCACCTAACAGGGTAATACCCGTAGGGATATGGGCCGTGAGCGGTCCTGCGCAGTATCTTGCTGCTCCTAGGACTGCGCTCTTTTGGACAGAGATCTTCGATGTTGTTCCTGGGATCTGCTGGAGCCACTCGCCTAGCTTGGGGTTCACCGCACCTAGTGCTCCAATTACCACTGGGACCACTGTTACCGTCACCCTCCACATCTTCTCAAGCTCTTCTCTGAGCCCTTGGTATTTCTCAAGCTTCTCATGTTCCTTCTTCCTGATGTTGCTGTCATTCGGAACCGCTACATCTACCTCTACAGCCGTCTTCTTCTGTTTGTCTACCACCACTATGGCCGGTTGGTTGGCCACCACCATTTTGCCAGTCTGTATCTGGAAGTCCCACAGGATCTTAGCTCAGTCATTCTCCACCACCCTAAAGGGGCTCTCCCATCTTAACCTTGGGACTTCCAGCCCATACTCGGCACAGATGTTTCTGTGTACTATGCCGGCCACTTGGTTATGGC